CCTCATTTCTGTTAACAGTGCCCTCTCGTGAGTGCCCATCTGAGACCCCATCCTTTCTTACCCACGCTTAGTTGACAGATCTACTTCTAGCCTCTCTTTGTAACCGAGCCCAGGCTCTGGGTGGGTCTGATTAGCTGTGCTCCACAGCCTCCAACAGATCCAGGGGGCTTTGACTCTCCTGCAGGGAGCCTTTGTGCGCTGCGGCTGGGCTCAGCACCCGGGCTGCACTCTCAACCAGCAGCTCTGAAATGCATATGTGAGCAGCATGTCTAATGGCCTCTGGTTTCCATCCAAATGGAATTTAAGACATTGGCTGATCCCCTCAAGATGCGACAATCCCAATGATTCTCCAAAATGAGCCACAGCACCTAAGTGACCTGACCCTGGCTGCCCTTCAAGGCTCTGGTACCACTGATTTTGTTCCTAACAAGCACACATCAAGCCAAAGATGACCTCCCCTCTTTTCTTAGTTGGGTTACGTGTGAGATTGTTATTTCTGGGAGTCTAGAAAAGATCTAACAGCAGCAACTAGAGACGCTTCAGTGGGAGCTGTAATCAGAGTGCTCTCTCCCTCTTTCGTATGCTCTCAAAGGGCCAATGGCCCCTTGTAGGTTTTTAATCCATCTCTGTTTCTCCTTCACCTTTCATAACTCAAGTCAATGATTCTCTCCTTCCTGAAGAGGAAAACCAGAAGATTCGTTCTGCAATTCATCCTTCCGCATCCCATGGGGGTGGGGGCGTGGGGCTGAAGGGGGCAGGGAGAAAAACAAGAAAGGCCCTTTGAAAATCAAAAGCAGTGCCAGTGTGGAGGTGGTGAGGTCATCGGGGATTTCGAATCCTGAGATATGTCAGAAATTGCCTCCCTTGCCGTTCCCTGTGACTCCCAAAAAGTTCAAAGAAACAGAAACTGGAGTCTGTCCAAACCTGGCTGGGCATTTGCAACGTCCCAGCTGCCTGTTCTTCCCGGTGGCTCGCATCAGGCTTACCCTGTCCTCATCGCTCTACAGGCACTCAGGGTGTTTGACAAGCTGAAGCGTTCTTGCCCGTCACTGCATTTGAAGCTAGTGAAGTAAACTCGCTTTGTCAGCCTGATTCCCCCAAGTGAGATGGTTTCCTTTGCTTCCTACCTGGAAGGTAAAGCGTGGAGACTAATCGCTACAGGTGAGAAAGCCCTGCAGAGGGACCTCCCAGGCCTAAATTTGGCCCCCTCCAATCTTCAAAGGAAATCTAGCGTGGTTCTGTCTGTGAGGGCTGCTGTTGCTGCAGGGCCAATGAAACTCACAGGCTGTCCCAGTTCCTGGGATCTGGTTTCTTGCCAGAGCTTTGGAGCAATGTGAATAATTTCTGGGCTCTTTTAGCGAGATGGGTTCATTGCTGGGGTGTGAGAGCAAACTGTCATTGAGAGCCGTCTGTCTTAAAGCACCCGGGTCATTTTAATCCTTTGAAGTAGAATTAGAGACTCTTTGGGGGGTGAGCAGAAATCTCCACTTCAGGCTAGTCTTTCCAGTTTTGTTTTTTCAAGAATCTTCTGGGAAAAACACATCAGCATCGAGGAGCAAAAACCCACTTCATGTTGTGCCTTGTTTGCGCACCCCAAGGGTACTGTGGCAAGTGTGGATTTCGGCCTGTAGGATGTACCCTAATCCCCCAAACTTAATTTCATCCCTACTATGAGTTCCTGTCACTGAGAATAGTATCAGCCACTCCAAGGTCTCCTCACTAATGTCTTACTTCTAGGGCCCGTGGTATAGGACACCATCTGCGTCTTATGAGTTGTATTAGCCAGCTTTCTGCCACCATACCACAATACTTGGGATATTCAACTTACAGAAAGCAAATGGTTATTTTGGTTCACAGTTTCAGAGGTGTTAGTACTGGCCCTGCTGTCGCGGGCCTTGGTGACATAGAGCATTGTAGTGCATAGTTGAACAAAGCCAAGAGAGGAAGACACTACAAGTCTTGAGACCCCTTCCGGGTCAAATTCTCAATGGCATAAAGACTTCCTTGGAAGGTCCCATCACGGCCTTATAGGGCCGCCTTGGGAAGGGTGCATGCTCTCAGTACACAGGCCTTGCGTCATCTCAACCCAAGGTTCTGTATGCAGTGGTCCACGCCAGCCTCCACCTGTGAGTGATATTAGCCCTCTGTCAGGCCTCGGCTCACAGGGCTCACAGTTTCAGAGGCTTCAGGCCCTGGCCAACTGGGTCCGTTGCTTTGGACCTGAGGTAAGGCTAAACAACAAGGTGGCAGGCAGACGTGCAGGGGGAAGCCACCAGGTCTAACGGCGACCTTCAGAAGCACACCCCCAGGGACTTACTCTAGTGGGACCCTCCTCCCCAAACAGCTGCCTGGAGACCCGTCCATACGGGAGCCTGTGAGGGTCCATTCAGAACATCATTTTACACCCCAGCCCCTCCAGCCCTGCTCCTCTTTGGGTGCTCACTGCCGACCTCCCGAAGCACACTCACAGCCTTCTGTCTCCTCTTCGCTTGTAATTCTGCTTGGCCTAATTTTCCTCCAGCTTTGAGGGCTCGTTTACTCTGGGAAAAAATCTTCCTTTTATGCCCCCCCTCCCCCGCCATGCCACCGAATCCTGGTTCCCCGGGGCCCGGGTGTTGGGATTCTGTGCGTGCACAGCTCGGGGGTCTTGAGCAGCAAACCTTGACCTTACATCAGCAGCAGGCAACTACGCACCGCCTTAAAAAGCCAACACGGACCCCCACGCTCCCTCTCTCTGCACTTATCCTCCTGTGCTTCCTCTCTCTGTTCCTGCCCTGTTCCCTCCGCCGGGCCTGGCTTCTCCCTCCTATCCGCTCTTCTTTCTAACAAAGCCCATTCTAACTCTGGTAGCCATGGCCGGTGCGCCGACCAACCAGCCCCGTTCCCCATGTTTACACGCTTTACCGGGGGGCACCCACTCCTTGTGTTCTCCCAACACCCCATACTCCCGGGCACCCCAGAGCCTTTGTGTTCCTTTAGGAAGGACCTCCCCGGTCAGCACGCCCTGCCTAGAGAGGCCTTCTCCCACCCCTAGACCCAGAATGCTTTGCGACTCTCACCTGCTTCATTTACCTCCGCGGTACTCTCCATCATGTGACTTACGTATAGTAGGCTCAACTTTTTATCATCTGTCCCCCTCCCCCATTGGAGCACAAGTGTCGTGATCGGAAAGTCCTAATCCGTCATGCCCCAAGGGTCTAGAATCCAGAGTGGATGGATTTGGAAGAGTTCCCAGAATATGCCAGGCCCTGTGCTAAATGCCACACTCATTTAATTGGAAGCAAGACGCCATGGTTAATTTGATTGGCAGCTTGATTGGATCGATCAAGGCTTGGTCAATTAGTACAGCTCACCTCTGTGTGTGTGTGTATGGGAGTTTCCAGAGACCATGAGGTCATAAGGACTCTCACCTAATGGATGATTTGATTCCGTGACTGACTCATAGGTGGGAGGTGGTGAAGGGGAGGTGAGGACCTCGCTGGAGAAGGAAGAAGTAGAGATGTGTCACTGGGGCTCCGTCATGCCCGGGCCGCTTTCTACTCGGCTTCCGGACCGTGTGGTTGACAGTTGTTCTTATCAGTAGCCCAAATGTACCAGGCGCGGGCTGAGCCCGGGTACCTGAGCCACAGAGGCCAGAGTCAAGGGCAATGCTGGAAAGAAGAGGACCAAACCTGTCCGTGGGCTTTGTCAGCATGGGGACCACCGCTGACTGGGGGGCTGGGGGGGGCAGCTGCTGTGGGAGCCGTCAAAAGACATGGGAAGGGATGACGGGAACAGTGTCACGGCGCCTCTTTTCTTCTTCCTAACGGGAGAAATCGAGTGTGCTAGCGGGAAGAACCTAGTCAAAACTGGAAAATGGACAATGTAGAAGAGATGCTGAGCTGAAACCTTGGATGAGAAGGGGAGGGACCCAAGGCGTGGGTCAGGGCCTTGGTTTGTCTGGGGGAACCCGAGGGAAGGCCGAGCTGGTATGTTCGGTCCAGAACAGCTGTGTGCTTGTGCGGTAGCAAATGACGGAGGGTCCCTTCGGGGCTGCTTTCCCATGCCCAGGAATTTTCTGTGCTGGTTATTTTTTGTTGCTTGGGAAGAGGGAACCTCAGCTGAAGGATGGGCTCCATCCGACTAGTCTGTGGTCGTTTTCTTGACTGATGGTTGAGGTGTGAGGGAAATTGTAATTAAAGTATTCCAAAGACAGGCAGTTCTCTGATGCTGACCCAAGAAAGAAATGCATTCATTTACTCCTTTGCGTCTGGAGCTGAAAAAAGCTGATAGTCCCTGATGCGTTATCCGTGACCATTTAGTGGAGCCACAACATAACCACCAAGCCTTGCACCGGTCACGGGGATGACTCCTGGATGCAGCTGGTGCTTTCGCATCCTTGGATCCAGCCACTTCAAGCATCATAGGAGTTCTGTACAGAGTCCTGGGGCTTGTCACGACACTCAGTGCCTTCCCACAAGGTTCCCACTCTCTTCTCTTCTCTAAGCTTCTGCCCCATCTGTCACATCTGCCCCCCACCCCCCCGCCAGCCCCACCCTACTCAAGTCCTTCTCCATTAGGAGAACTCTAGTTGCCCTAACAAGTATGGCATCCAAAGCCAGACAGGCGCTCAAATGCGGGTTTCCCCTCCCCCTCTCACTCTCCTTCTGATGGGACAGATGGATGGGTGGCCATGTCGGGGGAGTCCTTAAGCCTCCTTCCAGAACACTAAGATGGTATATAACCGACTCTCAGAAAGACTCGTGGCCGAGGCGTCTTCCTGTCAGTCTCTCTGCCCCTTCAGTGTGATGGGGTTTTGTTTTTTGTGATTTGTTTTTATTTTAATCGTGAATCTGCACAGTGGAAATAGATGGTTAAAGAGAGCTAGGAAACACTTCTCATCCAGGCAAACAAGTGTTCCCAAGACTGTGACACCCCGGGCTTGATGTGGGGGCCTCAGGCAGCTCCTGTTCTCCACGCCCTGTCTGAGGTGATGTTTTGTGTTTATGTCTTTGCTTTAGCTCAGTGGAGCATGACAAGTGCCTGATCCTCTATGGCGATGACCAGGTAGGTGTGGGGTGCAACTGAATCAAGAACCAGAAGGGTGTTTGCTGTGCTTCCCCGGGGTGAGGTGGGGTACTCCCACGGAGGCATCTGTGTCCTGAGGCTGAGACAGACCGAGAAGAAAATTGAAAAGGAAACAAGAGCATCCAGAGAATATGCAAGTGGTGTTCACTAATGTGTGTGGTGCTCCCTAACATGTGAGTGGTGCTCACTAATGTGTGTGATGCTCCCTAACATGTGAGTGGTGCCCACTAATGTGTGTGGTGCTCCCTAACATGTGAGTGGTGCTCACTAATGTGTGTGGTGCTCTCTAACATGTGAGTGGTGCTCACTAATGTGTGTGG